AGCCTTATTGCCCTGATCCTCCAACCCCTGAATCCCTGATGCTCAAAATCCTTGATGTCACACCGCCCTACACCCCTAAACAATCGGATGCTGAAGCGTGAAACCGCCGGAACCTAGCTCTGGAGCTTTCATGGCACCTCCTGCTAGAAACCTTACACTACAGAAAGCCTCTGATTTCAGATCCCTCTGCCCTATAATCTCTAAGACCCAAAGGAATCCTAAACCCTCAAATCTCCCCAAACTCAAAACACCCCATACTCGGGACAGCGGCTTCGGAAAGGCAGCGCCGCTCAGCGCCGGCGATCACGGTGCGACCTCTGCTCCAGTTTACCAGGGCAGTTCTGCCTTTAACGGCCGGCGACATACCCGGTTAATCCCTAGGCCTCCAGGGACATACCCGGTTAATCCCTGGCCCTCCAGGTGCCTACTATACAGGGCCCTAGGGCCTTTAGTACTCTATATAAGTCTATATAGGAGGAACCTTGGGGGGTCAGGGAATGACGTAAGGAAGGACTCCCCGCTGCTTGCTTGGCATCTCATCATTTGCGTTTGCCTCACCGGGTCTGGGTCTGCTAGTCATTCGTCAAGCGGCCCCTGCGGTGGTTTAGGGTTTAGGGTTTAGGGTTTAGGGTTTAGGGTTTAGGGTTTAGGGTACCTACAGAGCCCTAAACACCTACCTCGAGCTTCGAGAGCAGGAGCATCCAAGGTCTCTCGGGGTTAAGCAACTCAGGACTTTTGATGTCGTCTGGGTGCTGAGCTGAGAGCATACAGGGCCTGCTTGGGCGTAGCCTGAGACCGTCGCTGAGGTGCGGATCCACTGGGAAGTCTGCCATCTTCGCACCTGACCAGCCCCATCCTCTGTGGCAAAGCGTTGTGGCGCCGGCGGCTATTGAAACAGAAACTATCATAGTAAGTTCGGACAACAAAAGCTCCAGGTAAAGACCCAAACAGCGGAAGATACATTTAATTTGAAGACACCCCCAGTACTGACCAGCAGTGCCAATAGCACAAGCTGGCAGTGCCAGCAGCAAGAAAGAGTTGAGCAAAGCCTTGCACATTGATGTGACTGAGCCCTGCAACGAAAGGCGTGGTCTTCGTGCTACACCCCTGAACCCTAAATCCTTCACACTTGTAGTCTCTTTTACAGGACTCATAGAATAGACTTCCCAGCCGCGACCCTGCACGCATAGGGTTCCGACTCTGCACAGGTGCGGTTGGAAACAGTTCGGTGATACAAAGGAAAGGAGTTGGGCTGTAGGGTTTCAGGTTTTGGCTTAGGGGATTATCCCGTGCCTGTCTCAGTGAGATCACCCTCGTCGTCAATTGCCCCCAAGAAGTGCAGCCTGAGTGTCAACCCGATATCTTCAGTTTACTCATGGCTTCAACTCAAGGGAAGGAGACTTCAACCCATAGCACTAAAATAGTCACAGAAGGACTGATGTGGGAGCTCTATTTGGCATTCGCAGTCTCATAATCGTGCAGATAGAAGACTGTGAGTCCGTAGACTCTGAAACGGGCCGGATCGCGGGCAGAAAGCATCACAGAACACGTACATCATGAAAACATCAAACAACCAACCTTAAGCATGTTGAAAACAGCACTACAAGTAAGGCTTTTAATTACTGGAACGAAAATATAGAAGAAATAGGCCACTAGACCTGTTTCATCTGACAGACAGCCTCTCAGAGCTGCCTCCCTGAAGGAAACTCGAAAGACCCTGCGAGTATGTTCGCATCCAGGGCCCAGTGCTGAGGGGTTGAGTGGTTTTAGGGGTTTAGGGGTCTAGGGGGTTGGGATTTAGGGTTTTGGGGTTGAGGGTTTAGGGGTCTAGGGGTTTAGGATTTAGGGATTCGGGGCTTAGGGTTTAGGGGGCTTCAGACTGGCCTGAGGAGGAATTTCTCTGACTCTCCACGATCCGCTGCTTGTTGCGCTCGATCACCGTTCTACGGTTGATGATATAAATCCTGCATTACCCGTAAGAAGGAATATACCAAAATAATTTCCATAGCTTAAGGACCTTATCAGGTAATGCGGGATTTACAACATCAACAGCATGGCTAATGCGGCTCATGCTGGCAACGCGTCATGCTTTTGTTATTCGTTGTCGTTTCGCAACCCGATAAACCCGTCATTGAAACCCGAAACTGCTGTTATTCGTGTCTCATTGCTCTTGTCCTTCTGTTCTGTATCCATTCCCCGGTTGTGGCTGCTTCTCCTCCTCAAATCCGGACAGAAATCCCCAAACCCTCAAACCCAAACCCCATAAAACCCACCTGAAGCCTCAGCCCCAAACCCTAAAAAACCTAACCCCCAACCCCTAAACCCAAAAGCCTCAACCCGAAAGCCTCCACCCTATGAGCCCGAGCAGGAACTCCCCTAATCACCCCAATCCCTAAACCCCTAAACCCTAAAACCCCAAAGCCCTAAACCCCTAGACCCTGAGTGTTTTCAGGGCTCGGGACATCTCTAAAGCGCGCATCATCGACTCGGGAGAGGGCCTCGGTGGTTAGGCGATAAGGGCTTGTTTTAATCGTTTAGGGTTGAGGGTGAGGGAACTAGGGAATTTCGGGGCCCTTAAAAATTAGAATAGGATTCTGGTGGTTCCTTATTATAGTTATAGTAGAATGTACCCCCAAACCCTATGCTAATTCTGATTGTTAAGGCCCCTATATTATGACGGTTCCATAAGGGTCTGGGGTTGAAAGGGTTTGGGGTTTTAGGCTTTGGCGTCTAGGGTCGGGCAATCAGCTCAGGATTCAGAGTGGCTGCAAGGTGGGTCCTGTGGCTAAATCCCTGTGCTCACAGTCAGCTTTAACACTTCGAGGGCTGCTTGATTTCGTCTTGTCTGTACCGGGGGGGTCCGGGTAGGGAGGATAGAGGATGCTCTGTCTGGGCCTGTAAAATGATATGCGAACTGCGGCAGTTCCAAAATTCTCGGTTGTCCTTCTGTCTAAGCTGCAGAAGGCTCCGGGCTTGTTGCAAAGCCAGTGGGATGGTAGAAACCTATAAACTGTATGGAAAGCATCAACTATTTGGAAGCCGATTTTTCGGGTCTGCGAAAATTAATTAGTGTTTCAGCACCTAGGTCGCAAGGATCGGAAGTCGAGAACAACAGCTTGCGCGATAGTTCTGTAGATATAGGAGTTTCAGAATGCGTGGGGGTGGCCGTGTGCTAAAACAGTAGGATCCTCCACCCCTCGCGCCACGAAACCACCACACGTTTTGTTGGGTCCATGCAGTACATCGAGCTGGCGATCGCGGCCTTCGATGCTCGAAACCTCGAAGACGATCGAAGCCCTGAACGAATATCTGGATACCCTGCGCCATCATCCGCACAAGCCCTGCCCTAAACCCCCCAAGCCCCGAATACCAGGATATCCTAACGGAGCAGACAGCCCAGAAATTCAGACGACCTGAAAGCCAAACTCTGTTGGATGCCTCCCAGAAACTGGATTCAGCATGTTTTTTGTTAGTGCACTGGCATAAAAAGTAAACAGGGACAAAGGGGGATTACGGTTACTAACTAGATCTTCGTGTCAAGCCTTAACGGACCGTTAGATGCCCAAGACTATACACCTCTACACAGGCGTTTGGACTTCGGTCACATCTTCAACCGTTCATAGAAGGTTCCGGGTCTCAACCGAAACTCCACCAACAAAACCCGCCACTATCAACCAACTAACTACCCATAGGCTCCATTCCAGTTCCTTTTTCTGCATGGTTTAAACTTTAGGATCCTATAAGGTAACCCCAAAAAGGAACAGTGTAGGATCCTATAAGCTCACCCCAAAAAGAAACTGCAATGGAGCCTATGGGTATAGCCTACGGTTCAGGGCAAGTAAAAATGCGGGAGCTTTGGGGGTTTCCCGACAACACGTCTTTAGGGTTTAGTGTTTTAGGGTGTTTAGGGTTTTTGGGTTTGGGGTTTGGGGTTTAGGGTTTTAGGGTTTAGGGTTTTATAAGGGTTTAGGGTTTAGGGGTCTGGGGTTTAGGGTGTTAGGGTTTAGGTTTTTTAGAGTTTAGGCTTTGGGTTTGGGTCTTTTTCTCCTGTCGCCACCTCAGCGCCGTCGTGCCGGGTCCCGGAGACTCGAGACGCTCACAAGCCGAGGTGGCAGCGCTATGCTCGAAGGGGTTGAGGGCCTGACTGAGGGCTGTAGATTTCTGGTGGTTTAATAATGTAGCGGCCTTAATGATTAGACTAGGGTTTTGGGGTACATTATACTATCAATATAATAAGGAGCCCCCCATAATACTATTGGTAATTATTTGGGCCCCTATGTTAGGGTATTTTAGGGTTTGGGGTTTGGTTTGGGGTTTCGGGTCTTGGGGAGTTCGAGTTGAGGGTTTAGGGGCTTTCATGCTGTATGTCTCGGGAATTGGGGTCTATGCTGCTCAATGTTCGTGGGCTTCACGGGTGTAAGTTTCATTTGCGGCTGTGACCACATTGGGTCTTTCACGGATCGGCACTTCGGATCGTTTAAGGCTTCATTCTTGGTCTGGGACTTTGCACTAAACCCTAAACCCTAAACCCTAAACCCTAAACCCTAAATCCTAAACCCTAAACCCTAAACCCTCAAATCTAAACCCTCATGCACTAAGCTGTAGAACTCTGCGATTCGACACCCCAGGTCCTGAGACCCTGAACGCCAAACCCCATATGCTCTGGGGTTGAGCGGGTTTCGGAGGAGTTCAAGGTATCGGAACAAGAGCCCAGGACCGGTTTGGTTTATAGTTTGGGTTTAGGGTTCAGGGTTTAGGGTTTAGGGAGTTTGGGGTTTAGGGTTTAGGGTTTTCGATGAAGGGATTCAGCAGAATTTCAGGAAAGTAATGTGAAAACGTAGACGCTTCGCCGTTCGCCAAGGCCCCTGTTCCGGAAGTACGACATGATCATTCCCACAACAACAAACTCCGACAAAACCCTAAACCCTAAACCCAGACCTGTCGAAGACTGGCAGGTGACTAGTAAACTGGTAGGGCAGTGCCGCGTGCAGCCATGTCACCAAGTCGTTCTCTTCCATGTCCTTATTGTAGGGGCCTTAATAATTAGAACAGGGTTTGGGGGTCCCTTTAAAGGGTTCTATAAGGCCTACTATAAGGGTTTAGGGTTTAGGAGCCTTAATAATTAGAGTAGGGNNGGGTATATTCTACTATAGTCATAATAGCAAAAAGGTCCGTGTTTCAAGACATATTCGGTGCAAACCTGCTCCTGCTGTTGAGCTGTTCTCCAAGCTTCGGGGCACATGTCCGCAGATTGAAAGTGCCAAGAATGACTGTGATTGCTGAGGATTTGGGCTTGTGGGTCGGGATTCCGAACTATGGGGCTTGAGGGCTTGGATGATTCTGGAAATCAGGGTCTCGGTACGGGAGCCTTCGGGTATGGGGAGTCTCTAGCTTTGCAAGAGTGTGATTCGGAGACTTGGAGCACCATGCCACCCAGAAGGATCTAAAAAATAGATCCCCTAATTAGGGACCCTAACTACTAAAGGGTACTTTATAGGAACCCCCTTATGGGGATCTATTTTTAGATCCTTTTGGGGGTCTGGGACCCAGAAGAGTATCGAGGAGCAAGATTCAAGAGGCCAGCCTCAGGAATGAAATGGCATGACCAGGGTTGCCCTGCCCACGAACCCTTGGTGGTACAGTGAAGTCAGGACACCGACAACCTTCTAGTGCCATGACTCCGGATGCTTTGGGGAGCGATGGGAACAAAAACATGTGAAGCTGATGAGCCGGACAGCTCCCAAATGGCCTCACAGAGTTCAAGAGAAGTCAATGGCACAGACCTTTTCAGCACCGGAACCCCTAGCAGCCTAGACCCTAATTAAATCCCTAAGGCACCAACGTCTCACACCCTAAAGCCAACTCCTAAACACCATCGGTATGTGAATATCTAAAGGTGAATATGTATGTGTATTTATATACACATCTGGAATTTATAATGGATTCAGGACGAAGGGGTGAAGCGTCAGAAGAGGTATTGGGAATCATGCATGGTATATATACAAAGGCTAGTCTATGTGATTGTTCGATTGCCCCCGCGATAATTCTGTAGGCAAGCAGCACGTAGCACGAGCAATGCCTCAGTTGCGGCCACAAGACCTACTTAAATTTACTACCGCCTGACTTTCAAGCATCATAAACATGCAAGACGTGCTTTCACGCCAAGTCCACCTTTGCATCAGGCATTCCAGAAATGAGTCTTCCTACAGTCTCTCACCATAGGCATATTCAGGATTCCTACATAGATGCGACCTGCTCTTCGGGTGTCTCGGGCTTCTATGACACGATAATATAGGAGCCTTAATAATTAGAACAGGGTTTGGGGGGGCTATTATACTATAATTATAATAACGAACCTGCAAAATAATAGTATAGGTAATTATCTAGGCCCCATAATATGAATAAGAGGTTCTGCTCGAACCCAGAGGTTTCTTTGAAAGCATCGGCATAATGCTGTAAATGCTCTGTATAGAGCCAACACCTAGACCCCAACCCCCTATATAATATGTATGTATGTATGTATATATATATATATATATTCTCTCTCTCCCTCTCTCTATATATATATATATATGTAATAAAAAAATACCGTATCATGAAACGCTCATGAATCAGATCGCTTCTCTACTCTAATATGATATCGTTCGTGTCTGAATGCTAGGCCGGGAATCCCAAAGGAGACCCGATGACAGACCCAACACCCTATACAACCTTATCCCCAAGCTCCTACCGCAAACCCCCAAGTGCCGTTTAAGTGAGCGCTTATGGTCCTCAATAGTGGGTATCCAGCGTATCAATAGTGGGTATCTAGGGTAGCATAGGAGGTGGTTGGGGGTCCAGGTAAACCCTAAACCCCTAAACTTCGGAATACATTCTGATTCTGTTCCGTTCTAGTCTCCATCGGGCCATACGGGCTTGTGGTGATTATAGTATTTGATAGCCCAAAGCCAGCTCTAGTCTATCAAAAATAAGGTAGAATTTTAGATTCACCACGGGCTTATATTCGAATTTATGCTTTCTGCATTGATTTTTTCAGGCCTTCCTACGCCATGACAAATACCTATAGTCTCCACTGTAGTTCCTTTTGGGGGTTACCTTGTAGGATCCTAACAACAAACCATGGTTAAACCAAAATGCTAAAACGAGGAACTACAATGGAGACAGTAAGTCCTTGAAGCCCAGTACTCTGGCCCAAAAAAGTTTAAACTTTTCTTTTAGTAGGGGGTTTAATATCCCAAAAAGTTTAAACTTTTCTTTTAGTGAGGGTTAATATCCCAAAAAGTTTAAACTTTTCTTTTAGTGAGGGTTAATATCCCAAAAAGTTTAAAGTTTACCTACTGGGCTCCTAAGAAGTGCATCTGCTTGCACCTCAGGGCTTAGGGCTTTGAGCTCCGGGACAGGGTGAGTTGAGGGAGGCACCTTTCAGTCGTATCGAGTTTAGGGTTTAGGGTTTAGGGAGTTTCACGACTTGTCTAGAAGCCCGAAACCCTAAACTTTGAACCAAAACTTCGCATGCTACCTGTTTTCTGGAGCCGCAAGTTGCAATAGTAGCACCGTTCTGTTCATAACTATAGGATAATATACCCCGCTCTAGTCATTAATGCCCCTAGATTGCGGGGAGACGCAAAGCCCCTAATATAAGTATGGAATAATGTACCCCCCAAACCTATTCTCATTGTTAAGCTATACTAAACCTTTCCAGAAGCCCTTGGTAGTAAGCTCCAACCGGGGCAGCGGCTTCTTTCCAGATCCCCCCTCTTGCGCAAGCCGAAATAGCAGCCTCTCTGCAACGAGATTTGAGGGCTCGTGCTTAGGGTTCCGGGTGGAAAGGATTCAGATCGTGGAAGGTGAGGAGTTTCAGGCTGAGGGGATTTGGGTTCTTCTCCGGCAAAGGGTCCTGATCTCGACGCTTTGACGCTGTAGGGTGAAGGTTTTGTTGACGGGCTTTTGGGCGGAGGGTCCGAAAATCAGAAAGCATAACACCCTCGGAGTGAATTGCAGTGGCGAGATCAAGATTTGTTTTCCAGGAGTTGAAAGTCTCGCAGCTTGGCATTTTCTTGTGTAGTTTGGGCGTTGCGGCCGCAGAGTACTAGGCTACTAGACACCGTTGAGAACTGAAACGAACCAAAGGTGGACCAAGGTTGAAGCTTGAATGGGCCTTGCCGATCGAAGCCCGTGCAACACACGATAAGGGCTGAATGCTTTCACATAACTTGCGTCGTGGCCTTCTGCCTGTGCTGGAGCATCCACTTCTTCTTGCACCCGTAGCCCTAAACCCTACACCCCCTTACCCTTAACCTTAAACCCTAAACCCCCTTAAGCTTACCCTTAACCTTAAACCCTCAGACCGAATATGGAGGTCGGAAAGCTAGAGTAGGGTTTTGGGGTGCACTATAGGGTTTAGGGTTTAGGGGTTTAGGGTTGTACTATCATCAAAATATAGAGTGCTCAGGAAGAGTAGCCAACTATTCAGGCTGCTGGGGTTCTCCATACAAGGTTTTCGCCTCGGCATACTGCACTGCGGTTCTACGCCTCCTCTGCATGCTAGCCTAGGGTTTGGGCTTTGGGATCCATGGTGGGGGCTACGATAGTATACACGTTCATTTATTACCCGAAAGGCTACCAGAAGAGTTGGCATAAGGGCCTTCATAAGTCTCAGTGTCCCTATAATATCCTACATTGAAACCCTTAAACCCCGAACCCCTAAACCCAATACTCCTCAGACACGCTGCAGAGCAAACAACTCTGTCAGCCGGGAGGGAAGCGTCGTCCATGAGGACGAGGAGATCGATGGCCTGCTTTGGTCAAAGCTTCGACCACTCCCCTCGGCGAATAAAGGACAAAGTTATGCATATACAATGTACATGTGTATGTACATATGTTCTTTATGTTGCATAATATATACACATATAGATCAAGAATTATAGAGTTCAGGGGTTTAGAGCTCCCTCGTAGCTTTAGGGTTTGGGGTATAGAGGAGTAGGGTGTGTGGCTCAGGGTTTGGGGTTTGGCCCAACACATACTGCCAAAGGTAGAAACATGTTTGACTAGTACTCGTACAGTACTAGCACAAGTTCTCGTACTAGTACCACCACGACCACCACCACCACCACCACTACCACTTGTACTTTTTGCCGTTGTTGCTGTTGCTGTTGTTGGTGCTGTCGTTGCTGCTGATGTTGCTGTTGCTGTTGTTGTTGGGCTTGGTATTGGTCTTGGTGTTGGTGTTGGTTTTGTCGTTGTTGGTGTTGGTGTTGTTGGTGTTGTTGTTGTTGTTGGTGGTGGTGGTGGTGTTGTTGTTGTTGGTGGTGGTGGTGGTGGTGGTGGCGGTTTTGGTGGTGGTGTTGCTGCTGTTGTTTCCCGATACCTCGACATCACCCAACTTGGCATCTTGAATGGAAGCTGACACTTTTTCCATCGCCTCCAGCCAGAGGCTTGCCTCTTCCATGGCTGTCGCTGCTGCACCGAAGGTGACGCAACCTGAGTTGCGCTTCAAGGTTTAGGGATTATCAGTTTAGGACTGGAGATTTTGTTGAGTACCGGGCTTGTGCGCGGTTCGGGGCTGTAGGATTGCAGGGTTTTTGCCTTACGGAATATGGAGAGAAGATCAGAGCAGGCATGCTGGAGCTGCAGGAGTCCATTGCAGTTGCACTACCAGGCTACCATCATGCCTGAAACCGCTCACAAATGAGGCGTAAAGCACTTGAGCCCTTAGATTGCGGATCCCAGCATTTCAGGTCCATTTTGGGGAATCTTGCTTTTCCGAAAGCCTCTTCCTTCAACTTCTGTCAGAGCCTTTGAAGAAAGCGCCCATGTACTTACCCTAAACCCTAAATCCTAAATCCTAAACCCTAAACCCTAAAAAGCAGGTACTTCTTCTTGGTGTCCACTTCGCCGGGCAGCTCACTTCCAGCTGCCGTGAAGACATGGAGGCAAAGAGCGCCAACGCCGCCTGCGAAGGAGAGGTCGGCTCAGGGCTTTGGGTTTAGGGTTTAGGGCTTCTGGTTTGGGGTTTAGGGCTTTTGGTTTGGGGTTTAGGGCTTTTGGTTTACGGTTTGGGGCTTTGGGTTTAGGGCTCTGGGTTTAGGGCTTTGGGTTTAGGGTTTAGGGCTTTGGGTTTAGGGCTTTGGGTTTAGGGTTTAGGGCTTTTGGTTTAGGGTTTAGGGCTCAAACTTGGTTCTTTGTATGGACCTTAGTTAAAGGTCTAAACTTGACAACCGTAGATCGGCATGATGGGTAAGCTCTGTCGTTGAGGACCTTAGCATAAGCTAACAGATAGGATGAAGGACTCTATACTTATAGTCTTATAGTTTTGGTAAGTTCAGTCTGGTTCAGGACCTGCGCTATCTCAGGATACCATACCGGATTAAAGACTCCACTATAAATCGCTGCTAAGTTCACTCCAAAGATGAAGCTCCCAAGACCTAGACATGCAGCCAGGCCGATTGCATCAGAGCCGTGTATAGGAGGTATGTGTTAGAGCTTTGGGTGTGTGTGTGTGTGTTGTTTCTTGTTTTCTTGGTGTGTTTTTTGGAGGGGGGTAGGACTTGGCATTTAGGATTGTTCATCCAGCACGTGCTTTTATGATGACGGTGGTTGCACGATTGCTCTGTTGTCTGCTTGTTGGCCACAGTACCCGGTATTCATCCGGGACGTAGGGGGTGTTCAAAACAAATACTAGAGCAAAGTTGCACAGTATACTCTGACTATACAAGCGCTACATCTATTCTGTTCTTTCTCGGTCTCATTTGAAGCCGTTGTCGAAAACAGAAGGTTGTGACAAGTTCTTGATCCTGATACATGCTCGAATGTTGCATGGGCCGATTGCGAGGGAGCTGTCAACTTGTGTTCAACCCAACAGAAATCCTTGGCCGGAAGCCAAGACTGCTCAAGCTTTGATGGCTCTGATGACCGGGAGAAAGAATGAGATGCCGAACTGCTGAACAACGCCCAAATCATCCCCGGATGAATGACCTGAACAAAAGCCGTACAAATCTGCAAAAGGCTGAATCCCTCAGAACCGACACTCTTTTGCTACGTATTTAACTAGCCCATAAGCAACAACAGCAGTACTGAAGTGCGCTCTTGCAGCGACCCCGCTCCAGACCCCTACGCCCTGCACCTGAAAGGTTGAACCTTGAAGACCAAATGACCCTTAAAAGTAAGGGCCTTCTTCCTCTGTACTGTAAACTCCGACGCGGTATCTGAATCCTAAACCCGTGTAGGGTACGAGTACAGTATACTGTAAATTCCTTTAGGGTACATGTCGCCTGAAGGACCCGAAACCCTAAACCCTAAACTGTGCTCCACCGATCCGGGGCCTCCCATTGCGCAGCTTTGGCGCCTGCGGCGTTGCACCAAACGTTGGATGCGATTGCTGGGGGTTTCAGGGCTAAGGGCAAGGTTTCTGTGTTTTGAACCCTCTGTTCCCTCAGCTATCCGCGTCCGGAATTTCTGGTAGGAGGAGGAAGTGTGCAGAGAACCAGGCACAAAGACGCCAAGGTTTAGAGGGAAGGGTTTAACGACCATGAATCCTAAAATCCTAAACCTCGGATTTAGAAGAGGAGGGTTAGGATACATTGGTGGCGCCCTGTGCTCAAGTTGCTCAGGGCTTTGGAGATGCTGTGCTTGTTGAACCTACACTGGACCACCATCGCCCTAAACCCTCAACCCAAACCTCTCAACCTACACACTAAAGCGTAAACCCGCATCCTGTGACGCTTGGTGGTGCCGGTGCTTGGGATTTCGGTCTTGTATGGACACGCAAATCGTCTTTAGACCGACAGCCGGTAAACTCCCCAGCATGCTATGGTGAGGGCATTAAGGTTCAGACTTCGACTCCAAGTAAGTCGATGGTCAGGTATCTATGCAAAGGTTCAGAATCGAACTCCCGGTCCATCGTTGGGGTGTGAATTGTCAGAACTAAGCTCCAAGAAGCCTGAGGATAGGGTTTTGGGGCTTTGTCTAAGAAGTCTCTGGTCAGGCCGTGCAGGTTAAGAATCCTGAAAACATTGAGGTCTGTCTATGTTTAGGGTCTTAGAATGATGTCCGAAGTACGTAGTCGCCAGGCCCAATATTTGTTCAGGGCATTGAGGTTTGGAAATCCGGTTTTCTGGAGAGAGTTCGGGGACGAGGGCTTGCAGAGCATGTGCGTGTGGTAGCCATCAATACCGCTTCTCTTTTCCCAAGGCGACAGCTAGCAAAATAGTAGGCTACGAATAATGACCATATATGATGTGACCCGGTAACCCTGAACAGAGCCCTGCAAATTTAACTATTTGGGGTTGTCGGGGCTTCATGCCAAAGTGCAGCAGTCAATAGCGGCGTTGATGGCGATGGTATTGATTTGCACGCCTGCAAGCAGATCAGAATTGAGGAACAGGCGTCAGGGTTTAGGGACGTCTGTCAAGAAGAGGAAACTAATGCTCGTCAAGGCACAGACACACCGCCAATGAACCGGTCGAACAACAAAAGATGCTGCTTGCAGGTACGTACAGAAGTCGACACTGCTTGGATAGATGGCCAACGTCATTCCTGTTCAAGCTCTCATCATAGTCCTTTTGAGGTTGTAGTCGTCACACCTGTTGCTGATACAACCACTCATGATAATCGCTCATACGATAGGGCGGACCTGTATTTTCTCGCTGGTTGCGAACCCGGTCTTTGCTATTGCGGTTACAGCCGGCCGTAGGATTCTGGCAATGACGACAACGATGTCGACTCGAAGACGACGACAGTGCGACGTCCACAACTACAACCACTACGGCCGCAAGGGTCCGTATTATTATACTATAGTGAAAAGGAGGAACCCCCAAAAACTCCTACATTGCACACCCTGTACAATGGCTGGAAGCCATAGGCAAACGCAATCGGCAGCTGCATTGAGATGATTACACACGTCATGTGCAAACTTCCTGACAAAATCCTCAAAGCCTTCGGGCCTGTACATTCCATTTCCTGAAGCTGCTCTAAAGCCAACGTCCAGAGCTGCTCCTGTTCAGGTTCGTGGGAACTGCGGGAGGTTATCTCACTGTGACTAACCAATACGAGTCTAGCAAGGCCGTTAACGTTATTGACCGTTATCGTATGCATCGTCAAGGGAAGCATAACATCCATCGCCCTGACTGTTCTCGGAATCAAGATTATGTTTATGACTCTTGTGAGTACTTGTGCAGATACTTCTCCCACTAGGTGTTCTCGCAAATGTTGGACATTTGCTGTTGCTTACTTAACCAAGTATAGCCGGCAGATTTAGAACACTCTTACAGCGCCAACTACTCCTGCCACGTCGGTTGCTTTTGTTGCCCTAGTTTGTGTTCTGTCTTGAAGTCCTGGCTACTCACCAAAGGAATCGTCCCAAACCGTCGATGGCAGCCCTCAGGATATGCTTGTTCAGCGCTTTAGGACACAAATGTCGTGATGTTGATCACTGTCTTACAGATTCACGTGGTGTCTCTAAACTTCAAACTCAACAATAAGCCCGAAACCCTAAACCCTAAACCGTAAAAATAATAAACGCTAAAAACCCTACATCCTCAAAACCCTATCAGATCTAAACCCAAAGCCTTAAACCGCTGCTTCAAGTTGATCACCCTAAGGCTCCATGTACCCATATAGTAGATACTTAAGCCTTAAAGTACCTACATAGGGACCCCCTTAAGGCCTAAGTATCAAAACGCTAAACCCTTAACCCTAAACCCTAAACCCTAAAGGTACATGGAGCCTGTGGATCAGTGCATGCCAGAGCAGGCTGAACCCCCGAGTCGCAGCCCACGAGACTGGGTAGTGTGGGGCTTAGGGGCGATGGTTTCGGTTTAGGGTTTAGGCTTAGAGTGTAGGCTTAGGGTTTAGGGTTTAGGCTTAGGGTGCAGGCTTAGGGTTTAGGGTTTAGGCTTAGGGTGTAGGTTTAGGGTTTAGGGTTTAGGGTTTAGGGTTTAGGGTTTAGGGTTTGGGGTTAGGGTTTGGGGTTTGTTGAGCACCTTCTTCCGACTGCAAACGTTTAGGGCCTAGGATTTAGGAATCCCGGAATGCCAAGCGCCCAGTGCCAGTAGAGGGCTCTTATTAATCATGATGCTGCTGCCTGTCCCAATGAAATTGTGGTAGTTATAGCTAAACCCCAATACCGGTCTAAATATTCAGGCCCCTGTGACTCTTAACACCCCTATATCCCCTAAACCGTAAACCCTAAACTCCGATATGCCCTAAACCCTACACCCTAAAGAAACCCTCGAAGGTCCCATAAAATGCCACCCTAAACCCTAAACAGTAAACCCTAAACCCTAAACCTTAAACCCTAAACCCTAAACCCAAAGCCCTAAACCCTGCAAGCCCTAAACCCTAAGCCCTAAACCGACGTCCTCCATGCAGCTGCTCATCACCTTAAGGGTCCGCTTCCTTTACGGACCCTTCCGGGTTCCTTAAGGGCTGTAGGGCTTAGGGCTTAGGGTCTAGGGCTTAGAGCTTCCGGGTTCCTTTAAGAGTTCCAGGGTTTAGGGCTTAGGGTTTAGGGTTTAGAGCTTATAGAAATTGTATAGGGTTTGGGTCCCTGGGTTTTGACCGAAAGCCGTTTTCTTTCAGCTTTGGGCTGCGCTGCAGCTGGAGTTGCCTGCTGCCTGCTGCGGAAAAAAGCTCGGTAAGCGGTGTTGGCTGCTTTTGAAGGACTGCAGGTATGCCCAGACCGAAGCTCTTTGCTGCTTGCTACTTACAGATTGCGAGGATACCACTACTGGCTGCCGCCTGCTCTTGAAAGGCTGCTACTGGTTGCTTTTGAATGATTGCTGAAGATACTAAAGTTTGATGCTGCATTGAAGGAACACAGAAAGGGGCCATGTACCTTAGGTTCGTAATTGAAGGACAACAGGCGAGGGCCATGTACCTTGTGTTCGCCCTTAGTTGAAGGAAACAGAAGCGAATCACCTACCAATTTTCCCTAATTGAAACAGAACAACCGAGGGCCATGCATTTCATGCTGGCCCCTCTTCATTGAGGGAAACAGAGGAGGGCTACGTACCAGAGATAAAGGCATACAACCCTTAGCTGGCGATTGGCTATGCACAAGCTACGTTTCGTTGATTCAAAGAAACGATACAATTTCGACGTGTTCCGTCTTGATTGTATAGGGTTTAGGGTTCCTTGAGGGGCTTCTTTTAAGGGGCCCGTGAAGGGTTTTCAGACCATTCGGGTTGAGGGCGAAGGGCCTTGAGACATAACATGGTGCCCCAGATAGTCTTAAGATGTATTCCTTACCCTAAACTCTAAACCTTAAACCATAAACCCCTAGTTGAGGCTGGATTTCGCTCTTGGGCACGCCTGCAGCTGCTTATTTAAGGACTATATACCTTAAACTATAATACTTTTTTGATTTAAAGTATATATTCCTGAAGGGAGAGATTTTGGAACGTCTGGTGGGGTGGGGGGTTAGGGAAAGAGTCGAGACTTCGCCAAGTCTCTCCAACGTAGGTACCTGGGCTCGGATGTGCCGGTTGGGGCTTAGGGTTTAGGGTTTAGGGGGTTTACGGGCTTAGTGTTTAGGGGTTTAGGTGGGGCGGGGGTCTAGGGTTTGGGGGTTTAGGGTTTGGCCTCTAAACTGAAAGCTTGAACCCTGAAACCCCCAAGCCTAAACTTAGGGTTTAGGGCTTAGGGTTTCAGGGTTCCTTGTTTCTTGAGTCATGCACATGTGTAGTTTTCTAAATTAGGGTCCCATTTTATTTTTAGGTCCCCAATTTAGTACGGCACCCTTATAAACAGGACACCCGAAAGGTACCCTAATTTAGAGAACTACCCACGTTGAATTGAAGCAGGCATGTGCCGAATTGCAGACTCGAATCCTCAACTTAGGCTCTCAGGATCGTGGGGATTAGGGTTTCAGCGATCAAGGTGCATAGACCGATAGCCTAAGCTGAAGAACGCTACTACACCCGACACTTCACGACACCCCGAAACCCGAAATCACAACGACAACCTCCATCAACGCCCGTCACCTGAAGCCCCGTTTATACCCACCATCAGGCCTATACAGTGCTCATATTCTCCGTATATGTCACTGCTTGCTAGCATTATCAAACTTCTAAAAGAAGTCTGATAGATTACGCGTAAAGCACATTACTGCGCCTTTATTCGAAATACCGTTATGTAGCCTGGGCCTCAAGATCCGATTCTAACTGCTAAGGCCCCAGAACTAATATAGAAGCTGGGATCATTACCAGTACTATTCCTGAGGGCTCCCTTAGTACATTTCTACCATAATACAACTCTGAAGCCTATTCTATCTATCAAGGTCTCTAGACTACCCTGTCTCATGCGTCCGACCGAGTCCCGGCTGCAATGGATGTTCAGGGCGAAAAGCGGTTGAGGTGCGGGTCAGCTTCAGGGTTCGTTCAGGATTCAGGGTTTAGCCCTAACCCTCCAGATGCCAACTATATTAAACCCCTAAACCCTAAACCCTACACCGTTTTAGCCACGGTTTAGGGTTTAGGGTTTAGGGTATAGGGCCCCAGGGGCCTCAGTACCCTATATAGTAGGTGCTTGCGGGGTTAGGGTTAGGGCTTTAAACATTTCGGGATTCGGGGTGTTTGAGGGCTTTAGCGCCTACGGTTTAGGGCGACTTAATTTACGGCATGCCTGGCGTTCCAACTTCTTCCAGGCTTTTTCCTCACTCGCCGATGCCCACTTGTCGGGAAATGGGCTCTGAGGGAAGTGTCCAGCTGGCTTCGGCCTGGCGCGAGGGCTTCTGGGAAGTCCCTGAACCGTAAGAGAGGGGCCTTCATAACTAGAGTAGGGTTTGGGGCTCAATTGCAGCAAAGCATGGGGTTTGGGGGGATCGTACAGCATACTCAGCATAAGGTAGGGGGCTTAATACTTAGAATAAGGTTTGGGGGTATATCATACTTCTTATAATAAGGAACCCGCAAAGCCCTATTCTAATTATTAAGGCCACTACATTAATTGTACTACGAACCCCTGAGGGGAAACATCGGTCCTTGTTCTGACCCTTACATTGAGTACTACTCGAGAGTGGACCGCCGCCTTGGCATTAGCCGGTCCCTATAATATAGGGGCCTTAATTATTAGAATAGTTTTTTTTTTTTTGCGGGGGGGTTATTATAGCTATAGTAGAATAGACCCCAAAACCCCTACCTTAAGCTGCACCAAATACGAATTGCAGTAACCCTCATAGACATAAGAATCGGGACGAGAACAATATGAAAGATCGACAAATCGCAACAGTTTAATACAAAATATTTGGAACAATGGCATAGCCTTGGCGGCAACATGGACTCTGTGACTTGCTTTGTTTCGGCTAAAACTTCTACTGGTCGACTCTCCTTGACTCCGACGGCCTTGCTATTTAGAAGAGTGTTTTGGATATACTGCGGTATGATTCGATAAGAAATATGGGGAATAGTATTGGGCATGTCTTAGCTGTCCGGCCCAAGTGGAACTCATGCTCCATATGCTTAACAAGCTAAACCCCAAACCCGACCCTGAACCGAATTGACCCTAGGCCCTAAATCCAAATTGTAGAACCTTAGCCCTTCCAATCCTAAATGTCCCTAAACCCTAAACCCGAAACCCTAAACCCTAAACCCTAAACCCTTCCAATCCTAAATGTCCCTAAACCCTAATGCCCAAGGACCTAAAGCCCAAAGCCTCCGGAGCCTCACAAGCTCAACGGCTCTCCATCCCAAACTTTAAATGCCGGAACCCGACACTTGGGTTTACAAGTTTGACAAAGGATAACCAGTGCATATGTGTATATATATATATATGTATATATAATATATATATAGAGAGAGAGAGAGAGAAAATGAACACATCGTAATATGATATAATGTAAAAGATAGGATAATACAACATAATGTACGATCATACTACGACGTTCACAACTCCATCACAGGTCTAGGGTTTCTAGGAGTTCCGGAACTTACGAGTTTGGCTGAGCGCTTGGGACGTTCAGTGGTCCAGGAGCTCAGGGTTCAGGGCTTAAGACTTAGGCTTTGGGGGTTCAGCGGTTTAGGGTTTAGGGTTTAGGGTTTAGGGTTTAGGGGGAGGAGCTTGGGAGACAAGGGCTGAGGCTTTGAGGCTTATGCAGATGACCCCCAAGTGATGCCATAGTTCTTGCATCTAGCAGGACGGCAATCCAATCCACTGAAGCTCGCAACCTTAGAGTCTCAAAACAATAGCTCCAAAGCTCTCCCATCCTAGCATCCGCCTGTAGAAGCACTTCTTCGAAGCTGTCTAAGGCGATCTGTAGGGTGGTGAAGGCAGCATGGGGCACCTGAGCAATGCCAGCATGCAGGCTCCGTTGAGTGTCGTTTAGCTATTTCCTTGGTGTTCCAAGCTCAGGGTTTGCAGTGTAGGGCCAGCGGCTGTTCGCGAGTAACTTTGTAGATAACATAAAAAAAATTGGGTGGTGTTGCCTCAAAGCCTTCGCAGCTTTGCAGATGGATGTGGCCTCGTATATTAAGTACTTAACGTGTAACTTGTTGTACTGTTACCATAAACAGATTATGGAACCCTCAGGAGTACTACGGCTTATGATATAAATCCTGCCTTACCCCTAGTAAATATAAGATAATTTCCCATAGTTTAGGGCCCTTAAGGTAATGCAGGATTTATATCATCAACAGTATCAAAGAGGCACCCAAAAACTCGTCCCTGGAGCCCTGGCAGCCATCCACTCTGCGTCCCACAACAGATGGCCTGCGTAAGAACTCGAAACCTAGAAATGACAATGAGCGACCCGACAGTACCCCCGACGTGCTAGGTCTCAAGATCCGATCCCGATAACCTGAACTGAACCCTAAAATCAAAACCACAAAGCCCCAAAGCCCAAACCCAAGACCCTAAGCCCTAAACCCTAGACCCTAAACCCCTAAAAACCCCAAACCCCAAACCCTAAACCCCAAACCCCAAACCCAAGACCCCATCTCGTCCCTCTTCGCTACATCGTGGGGCCTCGCTGCCACCTGGACCATGTTCTTCGGACTGGGACTGGGGCATCTCCTCACAGAAGACTTGTTTGCGGGCTTAGGGCTAGAGGGCCTGGGGTTTCCAATTTTTAGGGTTCAGGGTCTAGGTTTAGGGTTTAGGGTTTAGGGTTTAGGGTTTAGGGTTTAGGGTCTAGGGCGCTGATGATATAAGCCCTGCGTTACCTTGAGGACCCTATTAGGGTATTCTCCTTATTATGGGTAAGGCAGGATTTATATCATCAACCGCAGGTACTAGTGGTTTAGGGTATACTGCTTAGGGCTTCAGGGTTAGGGGTTTAGGGCTGTAGGGCTTTAGGGAAGTAGGGATACAAGCTTATGAGGATTAGGGTAAGTGGTGTAAAAGCGTTTAGGGCTTCGGCTCTGGGGTTTAGGGTTTAGGGTTTAGGGTTTAGGGTTTAGGACCATCGTTCGTTGTAAGATTTCGCGCGGTGTTCCGGGTTTGGAGTCTAGAGAAAATGCGTAAAGCCCTGTCTTTTGGGAGCATAAGCGCGGTACTGCGATTTGCTGAATCAACGTCCGTGCGCGAAGTGCTGGGGGCCCGTCGACTAATAGACCTTGCACTTCAGGCCTTACTTACTACGAACACTAACGCCACCACCACCAACGCCACCACCACCAATGATGCCACGACCCCCACCACAACCACCACCGCCACC